CCATATGCCTGTTCTTGTACCAATACCAGGCTGTTTTGATTATTGTAGCATTATAGAAAAGTTTAAAGTCTGGAAGTACGATACCTCCCACTTTGTTTCTTTTACTAAGGATTTTTTTGGCTATTCATGGTTGTTTATGTTTCCATATGAATTTCTATATTGTCACTTGTAGGTCTGAGAAGAATGATGTTGGTAATTTAATGGGTATTGCACTGAATCTGTAGGTTGCCTTGGGTAGGATGGACAGCTTAACAATATTGATTCTTTTTCATTAGCATGGAAAATTTTCCCATTTGTGTCTTCTTGGATTTCTTTGAGCAGTGTTTTGTAGTTTTCGTTTTAAAGGTCTTTCTCTTCTCTGGTTAGGAAAATGCCAAGGTATTTCTTTCTTTCTTTTTTTTTTTTTTTTGTGGCTTTTGTGAATGGGATTGTGCTTTTTATTTGGTTCTCTGCCTGCTTGTTGTTGGTGTATAAGAATGCAACTGTCTTTTGCACATCTATTTTGTACCCTGAGACTTTGCCAAAGTCCTTTATCAGTGAAAGCATGTTTTTGACAGATGCTCTTGGGTTTTCGAGGTATAGGGTATCATCAGCAAAGTGGGATAACTTAACTTCCTCTTTTCCTGTTTGGATACGCCTGATTTCCTTCTTTTGTCTAATTGCTCTAGAGAGGACTTGTAACACAATGTTAAACAAAAGGGATAAGAGTGGGCAGCCTTGTCTTGTTCCAATTTTCAGGAGAAAAGTTTCCAGTTTTTGTCCGTTCAGCAATATGGTAGCTGTGGGTTTATCACAAATGGCATTTACTATTTTGAGGTTTGTTCTATCTATGCCTAGGTGTTTGGGGGTTTTTATCATGAAGGAATGCTGGATTTTATCAAAAGCTTTTTCTGCATCTAATGATACAATCATGTGGTTCTTGCTTTTACATCTGTTGATGTATTTAATTACATTTATGGTCTTGTGGATGTTGAGCCAGGCTTTTATCCTGGGGATGAAGCCTACCTGGTCATGGTGGATGATTTTTGAGATGTGTTGTTGGATCCGATTTGCTAGAATCTTGATGAGAATTTTTACATCTATGTTCAGCAGGTATATTGGGCTGTAGTTCTCTTTTTTGCTGGATCCTTACCTGGTTTGGGTATCAGTGTGATGTTAGCTTGGTAAAAAGATTTGGGAAGAAGTCCATCTTTCTCAATTTCCTGGAATATTTTCAATAGGATTGGTATCAGCTCCTCTCTATACATTTTGTAGAATTCCTAAAGCCTCCAGTTCAAGGTTTTTTGGGGTTTTTTTTGTAGGTAGTTTTCTTATAACGGAGTCAATTTCCTAGGTTGTTATTCGTCTATTTAGTGTCTCAATGTCTTATTGTTTCAACTTACAGAGGTTATGTGATGTCAGAAAGCCCTCCATTTCATTTAGGTTTATCAAGCCTGTTTTGATACAGGTATGCACAGTAATCTCTGATAATCTTTTGTATTTCTTCAGGGTCAGTTGTAATTTGATCTTCTGCATTTCTGACTATATTTATTTGGGCTTTTTCTTGGTCATTCTGGCTTGGAGGTCTCAAAGAACCCGCTTTCTGTTTTGTTGACCTTTTTTCTATGATATTTTTGTCTTCTATGTCCTCTATTGGGTTTTTACTTTGGTGATCTGGATTCTTCTTGTAAAGTTAGGGTTTTGTGGTCTTGTTGTTCCACTTCCCTTAAGTGATTTGTTGGGCTGTTAACTTGTTATCTTTCCATTTTCTTGATGTGTGTAGAGAAATAAATTCCCCTCTTAGAACTGATTTCATGGCATCCCAGAGGTTTTTGTAGGATGTTTCTTCATTTTCATTCATTTCCAGAAATGTTTTAGAGTCTTACCAACATAAAAAAGTCCCACTTTGAATGATGACCCTATATGCAACTTCAGCACTCCCTCTGAATGAAGTTCCAGGGTTGGTTATGTTCTTACAAACACACTGAAAAGGCATGACATTACCTTTATTCAGGAAATGAAGGTATTTTCTTTATATATTACTTAAAATAATCGTCTTGCTTTAGAATATCAGGAGATGTGAATTCCTGAAGCCCTTTCTCAGGATAAAAAAAAAATCTTCCTAAAGTATTCCTCTAAGAACCAACACACTAAAGAATATTCACTTACTTTTATCTGTAGAAGGAACAATGCACAAGTATTGTATAAGTTCTAACTGATGCAAAAAAGTTCAATTTTTTATTACATAAACTCATACATTTTACACAAATTTATGTTGTAAAATGGCAAGAGTTGGCACTACTTTACAGTTTTAACCCTAGAGTTGGTATTTCCATGAGGTATACTGAAGCTGTATTTGCTGTTTCATGATTCACAATCACTCACCAGGTGTTACTGTGTCTGTGTATGGAAACTGAAATATAAAAATAAGTGACAGAATGAAAACAGATGCCACATTACCCAAGCATGGCTCCTTCATAATCAACTGGAAGTGAAAGAAAAGCACTTCAGTCTTAACAGAAAATCTAGCTAAATCTGGCTTTCTAGTCAGCAGTTTACCTTCAGACTCCTAGGACTATCAGAAGTAGCAGTTATAAAAATTAATGATACGACTAACCCCTCAAATATTTTAATGAGTATCATTTGGGCTTTCATAGGTGAAAAATAGATTAGTCATGAGAATTCAAGTGCAGATTTCATTCATTAAAAAAAGTAAAAACTAGAAAATACAAATAATTATTATTAGATAAACAGTATCATTCGATTTGAAAAGTAAAGTATACAATAAAGGACCACTCTACTAAACCTCAGTAGTTACTATTCAATGTACCAAATCTTCATTTTAGGTTAGAAATCTTTATCATTCCTATTTTCCACAAGAAAACTTTTACATGCAGTTCCTTTGAGTGTGTCATAATTACAGATTGAAATCCTTTTAAAATCACTTGACTTCTTAATAAAATACAGTCGCTAGATGTCCCTAATCAGAGTGGCAGTTTCAAACTGCTGGGCACCACTGTATGATAATATCCAGGATGTGTTTATCATGCGTTTTCGAGACCCAGGCTTTGAACATTTGAAAAGTGATTGGCAGGCTGGTTTTGTGTTTTGAGGGTCTGTGCGCGAGACTGCATATTCTTCTTTGTGCTAAGTACAGGAGTGTGACATGGAAAATGTCTGTGGCTTTCCCCTAATGCCTCATGAACTGACAATGGAGAGAAGGGCATGTTTCAAGTGTTATGACATATAATGATACATTATGATGGTCTTAACTAAAAACAAGAGGGGAATTTACTGAAACAAACAAAAAAGTGATGATCTGAAAGCTGGGCTATCTGATTTCTAACTGTAACCTGACTGTGGCTTTCTACAAGGCTTTCAACATTTACCTATCCTGTGCCCCAGTTTCCTCATTTAAAATGGAGAAAACAAAACAGTCCTGACCCATGTCACTATGATAACAAAAGTAATATGTTTAAAAAGCACATAAAGCTGCAAAGAAATTTTTAAATGCAAAAATAGTATTATAAATACTAATAGTGTTATGATACTATATTGTTAATGAACTCACAAGTTCCAAAGTTCATACAGCTTTGTACATATGTAACAGTCAAAACAGTTTGCTCACTGAAAAAAAGAATCAGCCTGATCCAAACAACACAGTTTTAGTTTTTATAAGATGCCAAGAGCATTATAAATGTTTAGCAGTTGGTAAAGAAAGGTGAGTGTATTTAACTCTTAATTTCAAATTAAGACAATGCAATGATTTAAACTGTAAATATGTTTATAAACAGAATATCACATAACTATATATACCATTATTTTTTATAAGTATCACAGGATAAAATTAGTATTTCTCTTTCACTTCTAAAAAATCATCCAAACACAATGTGAGAAATAAAAACAAAATCCTTGCTATTAGAAAAACTACAAAAATAAGTAGATGGGTTGAAAAGGCAATGGACAGGGAGGAAGAAGGCGAGGGAGAGGGAGGAGGGAGACAAGGGAGAGGGAGCAGGAAGACCAGAGAGAGGGAGGAGGAAGACAAGGGAGAGGGAGGAGGAAGGCAAGGGAGAAGGAGGAGGAAGGCCAGGGAGAGGGAGGAGGAAGGCAAGGGAAAGAGAGGAGAAAGGAAAGAGAGTGGGAGAAGGGAGGCCAGGGAGAGGGAGGAGGAAAGCAGGGAGGGAAGAAGGAAGGAAAGGGAGAGGGAGGAGGAAGGCCATGGAGGAGGAGAAGGAAGGCAGGGAGACGAAGGAGGAAAGAAAAGGAGAGGGAGGAGGAAGGAAAGGGAGAGGAAGGAGAAAGGAAAGGGTAAGGGAGGAGGAAGGCCAGGAAGAGGGAGGAAGAAGACAGCGAGAGGGAGAAGGAAGGAAAGGCGGAAGGAAAGGGAGAGGGTGGAGGAAGGCCAGGAGCAGGAAGAGGACAGCAGGGAGAGGGAGGAGCAAGTAAAGAGAATGGGAGGAGAAAGGCCAGGGAGAGGGAGGAGCTCGGCAGGGAGTGGGAGGAGGAAGGCAAGCAGTAGGCAGCTGGGACAGAATGCTACAGCTGTAAATGACAGAAAAACACCAAGTCTGCGTGTTGAAGGCCATGAGCCCCCCACTCAAGGTATAACTGTTTATACCAATAGAAACAAGGTGCGTGGGCTGCCTGCCATGGCTGTTCTGGATGTGGTCTGGTTCCAAGAAGTGGAGAGGACAATGCTAAATAGAAATCACACAAACTACATTACAAAGAGCAGTGGCTATGGAAGACATATGGTTTGTCTGATGGGACCCCAGAGTTGTCTATCTCCACTGGCAGACGCTAAAGAAAGCAGAAAAGCAACAGAAAAATCTAACAAACAGAATGTTCACATGAAAGATGCTGACACAGAGGAGATGAAATCAAGACAGATACTCCACCATTAACTAATAATACTTAATTATGCAACCAACTCTAGTTTGAGATCTACAAAATTATATAATCATAACATTTTATTGACTAGAACAATAGTGAATAAACTAGTATAATCAATCACTCACCTCTGATTCATATTTTATTTTTTCTTCTTCTAAAATACGTGCCGACTCTTCTTTCTGGTGTTCAAATTCTGATTTGAGAAATGTATGTTCATAGCGAAGCTTATTATAGTCAGCTCTATACTTTTCCACTTCCTAAATTAAAGGCATTCCATTGATCACAAGTTTATAAACAAAGCTTGTATTCACGCCAATAATCACTTTTACAAATATGATTTAAATACATTATACAGACTGCCATTCTAAAATCAAAAAATAATTTTTAACAGAAATACAAATGAATTTGGAAAGTCCTCATGAGTAGTATTCTACATAAAGAATTAGGACATTTCTGAGGAAATACTACTAAAGCAAATTGCCATTCAATTAATCTTGTTTATTCACTGATTCTCATTATAATAAAAGTGTGTAGCATGACAAGTGTTTTGACCTATGGATTAATAAAATAATATTTAAGAATGTAGCACAACTTTGAAACTATAGCTAAATTTTAAAAACGGCATTAAGTGTAAGTCAAACAAAATAAATTCAAAATAGATAAAAGGTTATTTTAACAATTAGTGCAACAATTTAACGTTCACTCAAAAATTACAATGATTGTTCAACTGAACTCAGCACACCAGCCTGAACAGAAGATGTTGCCTAAGCAGGAACACACGCAGTTTCCTGGAGTGCTCTAATCCTGCTTCCCAACAGTGCTCAATAAAAATTGCTGGCATTCTGAACACTCACCAAGAAATCCAGGCAATTGAGCAGGAAGATACAGGGGCACTATTTCAACGTGTGTCAGGAAATTAGACAACAAGGAAAGCACATCTCCTAAAATACTCAGTTTACCACAAATCTTTAGTTGAAAGATTTCTAAGTCAGTTAATAAACCAAGAAAATTGGTTTCATAATTTTACTAAAGGCATACTTTGTTTTGATTCTTTTTTTAAAAAATGCTTTTATTTAGGCTGAATGCAGTGAGTGGGTCACACCTACAATCCCAGCACTTTGAAAGGTGAGGCAGGAGAACTGCTTGAGCCCAAGAGTTCAAGACCAGCCTGGGGAACATAGTGAAGCCTTATCTCTACCAAAAATATAAAAACTAGCCAGGTGTAGTGGTGCGTACCTGTGGTCCCTGCTACTTGGGAGGCTGAGACAGCATGATCCCTCTAGCCCAGGAGGTTGAGGCTGCTGTGAGTTGTGCACTCCAGCCTGGGTGACAGAGTGAAACTCTGTCTCAACAAACAAACAAAACTCCTTTTCTTTGAGGTGATCACCTACCTTAGGTCTGAATGACTGCTTTTATCCAAAAATAAAATCTATTCCCAAATCACAGTGGTTTGTCACGACAAGTATATTCAAGCAATCATATCATCAGCCCAGCAAGCCACTATGAAAGAGGATTCTACAACTATTTTGTACAAGGGCAGCATCGCTGGACTATAGTTCTCCAAAGGGATCTATTTTGAAGGGGACAACAATCGTCAAAACAGTTTTAAGGGGACAGCGACCCTTTGTAATGGCCAGGTGAGTTTGTTCAACAAAGCTAACACACACCCCAGCTCCAGGACTGCACCTGATATGCTTATGGTCTGCAGTGTCTTCCCGTCTCCTTTGTAAAGCATTGAGTCATATTATACCAACACTCCACAAAAGGAGACTGGGCTCAACCTAAAGTAAAACTGGAACAAATCTGACTTTTTATGAAGTTGCATGCCATTCATTTTTCATTCAACAAGTATTAAGCACCTAGTGAATACTAAGAACCATTCTAGGAACTTGGAATGTAACAATGAACAAAAAGGATAAAAGTTCCTACTCTCACACATTGTCCATTCTCCCAGTGGCAAAATAAAAAATAAACATAACAAATAAGTTATACAGATATGCCCCAGAAAAAAAAAAAGAACAGGGTAAGGGAGATTCAGAGGGTTAAGTCCTGATGGAAAAGGCAGTCTGTAAAAACAAAGGGGTGTGGGGGCAGGCAAAGTAGGACTCAATGAGAAAGCAACACTTCAGCCAAGACCTCCAGGAGCTGAAGGAGCTAGCCAAGAGACTTCTGGGAGGAGAGTTTCAAGGCAGAAGTGACGCCAGAGCACAGGTCCTAGAACTGCACCAATTCTGAAGTACTAGAGGAATCCAGGAGAGAGCGTGGGTAGAGGAAAGGAGGGCAGAGGCTGGAGTCAGGCCAGAATGCTCTAGAGGTCCTGCAGGCCTCTGAGCACAAAGGGGTGCTGTGCAGGTTCCTGGGTGGGGACAGTGCCTCCAGCAAGTCACATGGGAAGGTCGCACAGGGCAGTGTACTTACTTCATCCAGATTCTGAAAACGCTCTCTCATTGGAGTTTCTAATTCTTGCTGTATCTGGGCTCTTAACAATTCCAATTTTTGTGGAGTTAATATCTAATATGTAAAGAAATAGAAATAATTATAAATACAAAATCACATGAAAATCAAGAATTCGTCACATGTCAAAACCTCTCTCCTAACTATGACAACAGAATTCAATCCGTGAAGGTTTTCACACCATAGTTAACATCACAGTAATCACTATATAAACAGAATCCTCATTTGAAGCAATACTTTGAGAATCCAATTTCAGGCTCTCCGAGACGTCAAGAACTCCACTCACATGAAGTGAAGACAGTCCCTGATTATAACTGTTTTTCTCAGGAATAACTGCATTGGCAGCCAAGGCTACCATGCTGGATACAATGGCTGGCAGTCTAGTTATTTTCCAAAGCAAGCAAAACAAATGTGTAATCATTTGTTATACCAAAGAGAATTCTTCAGACATAATTTCAGTTGGAAAAGGTTCACACTCTCTTATAGAACCCATACTTCAATGAGTAAATATTCACATAAGCTCCATTTGGGAAGACACAGTCTTTATTCACCACTGTATTCCCAGAGGCTCCCATCACAGGCCTGCACATAGGAATCACTCAATTTTCACTTCATGAATGAATGAACAAACAAGCAAATGAACAAATACTAGTTGTAAAAAAAAAAAAAATCTAGCACGAATGTACATTAATCACTAAGAAATGAGAACAATGGTCAATTTAATTCATTTATTCATCAATACTCCAAATATTTTATTCAAAATAGTATATTTTGCAAATGAAAGCCTACTATACATAAAGCGCTGTCCACGGTGCTATAATCTACATACCATATTGCTCTAAGCACCGTGCATGCATTAATTTCTCACAACAATCTGCAATCTAGCTACACTGAGGCGTACACAGAGTCTAAGTAACTTTCTAAAAATCACAGAGACCTACATGAAGCATACACCTCCCCACAAGAGGGGCAAACTGTGGCATGAAAAACAACTCATACACACAAATAGCTGTAACAGTAGGCAATACAGGCTTCCAAGACAGTAAGGATGAAGAGAAAAACCAATCAGGGAGACAGGATGATTTCCCGAGGAATGGAGAACTAAAGACCAGCAACATTTTAATATGCCTGAAGTGGCAGAGACTATATGGGAGGAAAGCAATTCTCAAGGGTGACATAGGCATTGGGATGAGACTGCACCATGCAGGACAGAATCTCAGAATCCTGGGTCCCTATGGATTAGTGTGGGTAGGAATTGCTAAACACCGTAACGTGCATGGCCATGGGACATATTTCCAAATGCCCCTTGGAGGGCTGCACCCTCCTGGGAACAAAAGAGGTTGAAGTCAAAGAGTGGAAAGTTCCTGACCACCAAGCTCAGGCTCAATTTATTCAGTATTCAAAGGTATGTACTTTAAAAATTTATTTTATTCAAAACACATAAAGACAAGTATATAAATAATTCAAACAAAAATAAATCCAATATTAAAGATGTTTTCTCACTTCAGTAGTCCAATTTTTCTCTACAGAAACAATTGTTGTTAATAGTTTCTCCTATGTCCCTCTTAAAACAATCTATAGATACACAGCATATAAAACACCTGTAATTATTACACAAAAAGGCACATTATACATATTTTTCAGTACCTTGCGTATTTATTGAAGGTTTTAAGCTTAAGAATGATGCTCGTACACCTGTATTTACAAAGAAGCAAGATGACTCGACAGCTCTGGTGGGAGAGCCACAGGTGCTGTGGGAAGAAGAGACAGGGAACAACAGGCAAAAGAGCCAGAGCGAAGGCTTGCGCCACAACCTGGCTAGTGGAACCAAGGGTCGAGGAGGGTGGAAGTACCAGGAGTCCAGACCACAAAGGAAGAGATCAGAGGTGAAGAAACTCAGATCTTGTTTCAAACAAGCCATCTTTTAAAATAAGCAATCATGGCAACCCCCTCAGGTCCCTTCCCACTGTGGGAGCTTTTCTGTCCTCTCAATAAATCCTGCCTTCTAAAAAAATAAAATAAAATAAAAATGAAAATAAGCAAGCAAGGAAAATATGGGAAAACTAAGGAAACCTGAACAAAGACACGTTACCCAACGGTACTAATAAGTATTTTAGGTAAGTGAAAGGTAATGCTTTTAAAAGAAGAATTGCACTGGTATGTTATAGAGTATATACTAAATTATTTAGCATTGAAGTAACATTAATTGATTCAAAACACTCCAGAGGGATTGAGGAGAAAGCCGGGGGCTAGCAGGGGATGGAGGATAAGACAAGACTGGACAGAAATTCTCATCCCTGATGCTGACTGACAGGCACCCACTCCCAGAACGTCTGCATGTTTGAGATTTCCATAATTAAAAGTCAATTAAAATGAACGGGGCTCCACTTCCAGCCAAGATAGAACTCTAGAGATCAGATTTACTCTCCTGTCTGAAACAAACAAACAAACAAAAAACCAGACAAAAATTAAACAACAGTTTGCAAAACACTGGATACAGAGATGCACGACATGTCCCTGAAAGACAGAAAACAGAGAAGGTGAGCTGTGGCAGTGCTCGGGCCTGGCACAGGAAGGGGTACCCAGGCAGCATCTGTGAGACTCCCTAACTTAGACGATGGAACTGAGACTTGGGACACCAGGATGGCTATACAAGACAGGGAGCAGAGAGGAGGGTGGTCCAGAGAGAGAACTATGAGATCTGTAGAAAGGCTTGTTCCACTTAAGAGAATTCTGTTAGCACAACCGTGTAAGGAAACTACCCAAAGCCAAGAAAAGAACCCCTGAAAGGACTGGAGAATTCAGAGCTCACACAGACCAAAAACTTCATCTCATAAAGAAAAGGGTGGAGTACTCAAAGGGTCTTGCTCAGCAGTGGAAAGCTATCAGCCCTACACTAAATACGACTCTCCTCCCACTTAACACATCTTTTTTTTTTTTGAGTCAGAGTCTCACCCTGTCACCCAGGCTGGAGTGCAATGGCACTATTATGGCTACCACAGCCCCCATCTGCTGGGTTCAGGCAATCCTTTCAACTCAGCCTTACAAGTGGGTGAAACTACAGGCGTGCACCACCACACCTGGAGAATTTATTTACTTATCTTTTAATTTTTGTTACCGGTCATGTTGCCCAGGCTGGTCTCAAACCCTTGGGCTCAAGCAATCCTCTCGCCTCATCCTCTCAAACTGCTGGGATTATAGGCATCAGTCACTGTGCCCAGCCCACTTAACAAATCTTAAAAGAGCCAGAAAGTAATTTAACTGTACCCCAGAGTAAGACTTAATAATATGTATTGGAATGCAAAAATATCCAACACTCTACAAAGTAAAGTTTACAATGTCTAAAATCCAATAAAAATGTACCAAACATTCAAAGAAGCAGGAAATACTACCTATAATGGGGGGGGTAGGAATCAAACTACAACGGACTCAGAAGTGATACAGATGTTAGAATCAGACAAAGACATTAAAAATGGTTATTATAACTGAATTCTATATGTTCAAAAAAGCTAGAGAAAAGACTGAACAGGTTAAGGAGAGTTAAGGAGGATATAAAAAGACCAAAAGTGAACTTCTAGAGGTGAAAACTATAATTTCTAAGATGAAAAATATACTATATGGAATTAATGGCAAATTAGAGACTGCAGGAAAAAAGAATCAGTAAACTTGAAAACATGGCAATGAAAAATATCCAGAAATAAACAAAAAAAATCAACGAACAGAACATCAGTAAGCTAGGGGAGAACTGTAGGAGATCTACTATTAGAATGTAACTAGAGTCCCCCAAAGAAGAAGAGAAGGCAGAAAAAAATACGTTTAGAAGTAATGTCGAAAAATTGCCTAATTTGATAAAAATTATAAACCACAGACCTAGGGAGTTTGATAAACACCAGAAGCATAAAGAAAATGGTAATGTCAATCAAATTGCTCAAAATCAGCTATAGAGAAAACTGGCAGCAAAAAAACCAAACCAAACAAAATAACCCCAGCCACACTGCATCCATAGAGGAAAGGTGAAAACAGTAGCAGGTTTCTCACAGGGAGCAACACAGGTGAGGGCAGCAGAGGTACAGTTTGAAAGCACAGGAAAAACAGTCACTTCCACATTCAATGTCCAGCAAAAACGTCTTTCCAAAACAAAAACTTCTTCAGATACACAAAGCTGAAAAAAAAATCTCACCAGCAGACCCATACTACAAGAAGTGTTAAAGAAAATGTTAAGACAGAAGGAAAATAGAAAATACTACCAGATGAAAGTATAGATGTACACAAAGGAAAGAACACTGAACCTGTAAGTTCGTGGGTAAGTAGATAAGATTCTTTCTTATTGCTTTAATCTATTTAAAAGATAATGGACATCTTAAACTAAAACAATAACACTTGAGTGTGGGGTTTATGGTGGGGTAAGGAGAGACAAGTCATATTCTATAAACCCTAAAGGGAAAGAGATATACTATAAAGCCTAAAGTAATGTTTAAAATAACACAAAAAAGGCTGCGAGTCGTGGCTCAAGCCTGTAATCCCAGTATTTGGGGGGGCCAAGGCAGAAGAATTGCTTGAGCCCCGGAGCTCAAGACCAACCTAGGAAATGGAGCAAGACCCTGTTTCTACAATAAATAAAAAATTAGCTGGGCATGTTGGCACGTGCCTGTAGTCCCAGCTACTTGGAAGGCTGAGACGGTAGGATCGCCTGAGCCCAGGAAGTCAAGGATGCAGTAAGCTGTGACCATGCCACTGCACCTCAGCCTGGGCAACGGAGTGAGACCCCAACTCAGAAAATAAAATAAGATAAATGACAGAAAAATATACAATATTTTCTTAAAGAACATTTAAATAAACATGTACTATCTATAAGTTGAATGAATAAATCATTGTGCCCAGTAGTCTTAAGTAAAATCTGCAAATTAAATAAAAATCAGTACATTAAAGAATAATGTACATATGTACCTTGACTATCAAATTCAAGTATTCAAATCACCAGACCCATGAACAATCCAGATGCACTAAAAAAACCCTTCTCTCTCATTAAGCTCATATATGATTCATTATCAGTAGGG